TCAGGAGCAAGATCTCACTGGCAGTGACCCTGGAGTTCCTCCAGAGGCATCTCCTCAGTGCACACATCTCTGCTGTGTTAAGTACCATGTGTTTGTGGTGAGGAGCAGAGCAGAGGGGAGGTAGAATGTCATGCCTGCTGCCAGGCAAGCCAGGGAGAGGGATAGAGTGGTTCCCCCTCAGGAACTGCGAGTCCCACTGGCAACAGCTTGGGCACTACAAATGCTGTAGTTGCTGCTCAGGAGGGCACAAGAGCAAAGGTCGTGTATATTCTCCCCCTAGAAAGCTGCAGGTGGGCAAAAGCTCTTTTGATTAAGAAATTTCAAAGGATGTAACAGTTCTGGGGGTGCAGAGCCAAGCCTCTTCAGGGGCTTTTCCCCAGCTCTAAAACGTTTGTGAGTAGGACAAAGTGGAGCAGATCCATGTGGATTATGGGAGAGGAGCCACAAGGATTCTGTTTCGGTTTTTTTGTTTTGTTTTGTTTTAATTTTTTGTTGGTTTGGTTTGATTTGGTTTGGTTTCCCCAGCTGTGTGGCTATGCAACGCCCAGAATGACCCCTTTAATGTCCAGACTTACTTCTCTGTGAAAGAGCTTTGCAGCCTGTATTTGCTGCCCCAGGTCACTCTTGATGAGCATTGGTGAGCATGCCATAGCACAGCTTCAGGTGGTTTGTATCTGATGAGTTACCCCTTCAGGTGATACCAGCAGGAAGATGTGGCAGATCCATGTCCATATTGCCAGGAGCTGGTGAAAACCCCAGGATCCCTTTTGCTGGCTCTTTTGGGCTGATTTCTGCCTCAGGGTTTACCTGTGTACCTACTAAAAGACTGCAGCAAACCAAAGATTTTTTTCAGCACTGATGCCTACTTGTGAGAGCATGCACATGGACTGGTGGAAAAGAGGTCTTTGGGCAGCAGTCCCACCACCAGGACACGACAAAGGACGCTGTGGAAGTCAGGCCTGCAGAGGCCTGGGGAAAAGCCAGCCAGTTTGCTGTTCCCGCCGCTTGCTGTTTGTGTTTGCTGTTCACAGGGACCTTGGCTGTGTGTGAGCCTTCTCCTGGTGCTTGAGTGTCTGAGTTGCAAAGATTTGAGCACAGGATGTGAGTCTCAAACCATGGAAGCACTAATGAGCACCCCATTAAAGCCAAGAGCAAATTAGCATGCAGACTCATCCCCAGGTAAACCAGAGGGCAGTGCTGTTGAACATGACATCTGTGGAGCTGGAAGGAGGTGCAGGGGAGGCAATGCTACACCATCCTGTGTGTCTCTAGGGAGAAGAGTCAGTTTTGGCTTTCTGAGCAATGTTATCTGAATTACAAGTGAGAGAAAGATGAGAAACAACATTCAAAGACAGCAAATGGCACATTCCTGTGGGTTTTATTTTTATGTTAAACACAACTTTGAAATATTCTGTGGATATATTTATCACACTACGAGAATACGGGATGACTTTACATAACTGCAACGCTCTTTTGAGAAACTCTAAAAGTTATGTACCATTAATACTCTACCTTCTTCACTTTTCAGACTTGTTCAGTGTAAAACTTGCCACATATTTTTCCTGGTGAAATCAACCCACCAGGATCTGCTGACAAGCCTCTTTGGCAGTTATTGTCAACAGTGGTCTCTCTGGATGTTCTAGGAAGGATGCCCTGCGGGAAGGCAGCTGACTGTAGATGCTGCTTGTGTTCCTTGGCCAAGGATACATGTGTCAACACGTTCATGTTGACACAAAGCGGGACTTCTGGAAGAGGTTCTTAAGGTTAATTCTCTAGGTCATGGAGGTCCCGCTGTTACCTGAAAAAGTAGTTTGTGTTTCCTTATGCATAGGTGAGAAATTGAACAAAAAAGACATGGAAGGTTTGCATGTGAAAAGACATTCCTCTCTGAGTAATTCGATGGCTGCTTGTCTGCACAGATGCCCTGTGTGCACAGCCTGTGAACACACGGGCTGATAGTAAGCTAGGTCAACATACGTGGAGTTGACAGTAAACTGCTATGCAGGATGCATTTCTTTATCTGCCAACAGGATCCTGAATGACACGGACACCACTTCTTGAAGTTAAAGCTGGAAGAGGACTTGTCCTGAAGAGCAGAGCTCATATTTCCTCCAAAGGAATATGGTTATTCACAGGATCCACTTTTCTTTCAGCCTTTCTGACACTGATAATAAGACACATACGTGTATGCAACGGATGGAAATCTTCCAAGGCAATTGAAGCAAAGTCTGCTCAAATATTCTTGTACTGACTGAAAATAAAAAATAACTTTATTTATTTATTATAATATGGCTTTAATGGAGGAGAAAGGGCAAAGTAGTCGGTAGGTTTATAAAATAATTTATAGGAGAGGATAATGTTTGTCTGTAACAAACAGTACCACCACCCAAATCATTTCTCCCTGTCACACGCACACTGAGTCAATGAACCTTGTCTTAGGCAAGGCAGGATATCTGACTTCTGACAAGCAATTAATTGTTTTTCCAGTATGGAAAAGGATGCAAAAAGTTGCATTTTTCCTTGGTATAAGACTCCTTCTTCCATCTTCTCTTAGTGAGTGTTGTTTGATGCTTTTCTCTTCTTGGCAATCTTCAGTCTGTTCTCTTTCCTGGAGACTGGTCATACTGCCAAGAGAGGGCAGCAGCCAAGCACAGAAACTGCATGCCTAGCTCTATATTAGGTCACATGGGAACTTAATTTAGGGGATCATTAACACAGAAACTCTGTGTTTTACTATAATTACTGCTCAATGCACTTAGCCCACTGCCAATTTGTCCTTAATGCAAAAGCAAACTTCTGAATTGTTCTCTTTTCTTTATGTTTTCTTTGAAACCAAAGAAATCAGCCTAAATTTCTGCTTGATCATTTTAAAATAAGTTCTGTGCCATAGGAGCATGGCCAGGCAAACAGGCTATGCTCTGGGGATGCTGTTTAGAACGCACAGATCTCACACCTACATTTTCACAGCTCTGCAGGGGACTACATACACATAATAAACAAGTCTACACCTATACTGTATCTTAGCTGCTACATGTAAGACGTTCTCATTGTCTGAACTGTCAGCTTCCTAAAGCAGGGTGAAATAGGGGTAATACACTGTTCTGTTCTCTAAGGGGCAGCATTTTCTCCCAAATCTATCATTCCTGCACAATCCAGCAGCATCTCCTTCCTGTGTAAGTCTTCATGGTCAGATTAGCACATATCCTAAAGACATGCTTATCCCAATATTTATTGGTCTCATCCAGGCTGAACCTGTTTTAGAAAAAAAGAAAAAGTAACCTGGTTGGTTTTGATACAGTCTATTTTTACTCCAAAAGAACCTGCAGTGTTGTGACTCCTCCCTTTGGAGGCAGTTGGTTCTCCTGCCCATAGTTTTGAGGTTATGACATTAAAACAGAACATTCACAGTGGACTTTCACTTAATAAGTAAAATGTCATGGCCTGATGGAAATGAAGGTAGAGAGAGGGTGGTTCTGTGTGGGCTTTGTGTTTCTGCAGAATAAAACTGCAGTTCCTTTTTGAGGCTCTGTTCTTCCCATGTCAAACAGATGCTGGCTCTTTACCCAATCATTGGAAAACACCTGAAGCTCTACAGATAAAATGAAACCAGTATTTAAGGACAGAGGGACACTGAGTGGAGCTAGATGGGGCTAGAGCAACAGGAAAGCACAAAGTGGTGGGTGACTCCTGCTTACTGTACTATATTGAGATTTGTAAGGACTAATGCGGGCTTAACCTTATGTATAAAAAAAGGAAAATCTGCAGGTCAGACCAAGACCTAGTTATGGGAGATGACTTCATGGGCTTCTCAGGGCAAGAGGAGCTGAGAGAGACCGAGTCCACAGGGACGGTGTTCAGCCAGTGTCAGATGTGTTTTGCCTCATGTCAGAATTCTCTCTGGCTCCTGCTGTGCCACCCGTGCCTGTTTCTCCACAGCCAGGAGGTGCACAGCAAACAGTTATAGGGGAAAGGAGGTTAAAAGAGAGGAGGGGAAGCACAGAGAACAGGAGTGGTGGGTTTCCAGCACGTAGACACTGCTCTCTGTGCAAGTACCACTGCCCTTTCCATCCAAGGTCTGATTCTGACACAGATGTCTTCTGTAACCTGGGTGAGGGCACTGGAGCCCAGATTAATTTAAAGGCCAGTTCAGTTGCCCAAGCTCCCTGGAGGTTGTGAGCCTTGGCTGAACTTTTGTGCTACAGCTAAATCAGTTTGGCAGGTGCGGGAAGGGGCAGGGCTCCTCCTGCCCCACGCCCTCCTGGAGGGTCTGCTCACGCCCATGAGCGGAGTTAGCAGAATTGAAATGACCCACTCCTCCAACTTCTTTGCAGAAAGGGAGGATTCTCCTGTGTGTTCAGCTCAAGCTGTGCAAATGATAATTAAAGAAGTGAACAGGAATGAGACAGCAAAAGTCTGGATGTTCACTTTCCTGCAGCTGCTGTGCCTTGTATCACCTCCCCAGAGCTGACACACTGGCTTCATAGCGCTGCTGGCAGCAGGGCAGCCCCCGGGTCTACCTGCCAGGCAGTGTGCAGGTCACAGAGGGGCTGGATGAACTCCCACACTGCCATGCCTAGCCAACATCTTCAGCAGATCGCCCCCCTCTGCAGTATAGGAACCACAAGAACTGGGCCCCCCTGGATGGACTTTCCTATTAGTGGTGGCTGCTGGGTCTCCATGGGAAGGGCCTGGCCTGCTTGCAGGCTGGAGGGTGCTTAGCATCAAGTTTATCAGCAAAAAAAGGCTGGGATCTATTGAACTAGAGTATTAGCTTTTCTCTCAGCATTTCCATCTTCTTTCACTAGCACAAGTAATAGCTTCCTCCAGTCAAAAAATTTTGTTACTTAAAACACCCGAGGAATTCTTTTTATACATAGTCCTAACACTTAGTAGTGTGTTTGCTTTTTTCCTCCTCTGACATTGTCCATTTTTTTAAAGAATGGGGAAAGCAGACATTAGTCACACCCACAAATCCTTTTTGGATGTGTGTGTTTTTTGTAATGGATACTGCTAACTCCAGACAAATCACTCTCTGCAGAGAGCAGCAAAAGGCTAACAGCTTGAGTACAGATCTAGGAGACTGTATGCTAGTGAACAAGCTGCGTGGCCTCTCTGCTGAAATCAGAGAGCCCACAAGCAATGAGACTGCTGAGGCTGTTTTCTCTAATTCTGTGATTCTGCATGCTGACATTCATGCAGATGAAGACATCCAGATGGAGAACCTGCTGCAGAAAAAATGTTGTGTTAAATATGGAATAATCTTTGCAGCAATGCCTTGTAGTGAACATGTCTTGGAAAACTTCACAGTGATGCTGTGAATGGTTCAGCATGGACTATTATGCTATTGACAAAATTTCCTGAATGGGTCTTGGTATACGTTTTAGTTTTTCACCTGCCTTGTTAATGTCCTTAAGGGCATAAATTACAATGCTGTGGTACCTGTGAGGCCACTGAATAAGCCGCTTACATAGGAGAAGACCTTTTTGTTTGTTTGTTTTGCAGGCTGTTAATTCACTCTAAGAAGATAGTCCTGGCTTTGCAAAACAAATGGAGAAAAAATTTCCATGAATCTACACACAGGCCACAGTGAGAGATATGGAAGGAGGAAAGGATGAAAGAGAAAACAGAGCACGCCATAGCATAAAACTGTGAAAACAGACCATGTTTAGAGGAAAGTAGAAGTGATATTCTTTGCTCTTAATTTATAAAAGAAGGGAAACTATTCTTTTGACAAAATTAACGGTAAAGTTCCCTGGCAAGGCATGTTAATTAAGTACTGCTGAAGGTATGCCATGTACGAAGGCATGCCTGTCACTGTGTCTACTCAGAGGTACAAGATGCTGCCAAACCAAAACCCTAGCTATGTTTGGCTTTATCTTGTGAGCTCTGCCAGACGTGTATTGTTTTCCATTAACACTGTACAGCTATTCACATCTTGTAGCTTACACCGAAAAATATTAATAAAAGAGGAATACTTGTCATCATAATTAAATATTTGCATTGTGAAAGGCACACTATGAAATACTTTGAGAAATGGTCATTTCATATATATATTTATTTTTGTTACATTGGGATTTTTTTCTATAAAGAAAACATTTTGTGATGTGTTTTATTACTTCAAGAAATATTTTCTTGTCTCATTCTGACTAAACTTTGACACATTCTTTAAGGGAAAACATCAGTCAATTACGTTGCAGAGAATAGTGTGGGAGAATGTGTCTGTTTTCAAGGCGTGTTCTGAGGTGAGGCTGGAAGAGGAGAGCCACAGAAACGACATTGTTTTGAATTGCTTGTATTTTGTGCACATCACAATTTAAATTTAAGAAATTTAGGATGGACCTTCAATGTTCTTTTCTCCTCCTGTACTTGATAGGAGTGCTGTCTGTGGTTCAGTAAGCCAGCTTGCATTTAGTTTCACTAAGGTTTGTACTGCTGATGTGGAATGTAATTACTAAAATCTTTGCTTTTTCTGGCAGAAATGGAATTAAAACTTGATAATTTATTGTTTTCCGATGAGTGAAGTTTGGTTATTCCAGCGTAAGGACAGGCAGATCCTAGCAAAACCATTTCTGCCTTGCTCAAGTTTTCTCTTCAGCAAGAGGGGCTTTAGTGTCTTGACCAGAGCTGATGCTACAAATGTTAGCTCTGCAACTGCCTGCATTGTAGCATGTTTTCTATTCTGCCTCTGTTCCCTGTTTTGCATGTGAGAAGAATAACAGCTATGTATCTCTGTCTCAAAAAATTTAGGGCAAGAAACAGTTATGGACACACCACATACTTCATCCACATGTGGGCTGTACCCTTGTGCTTCAGGAAAGAAAATTTGTGGAGCCAGGGGGCTGCTGGGTGTCTGCAGCCCTTGCAAAGTGCCCTTGGTACAGCTGGACAGGGTGCCACAGGTGGCAGAAAGTCCAGAGCAGGGTAGAAGGTTTCACAGGTAATCACTGTCCCTGACCCCAGTGCTGTGAGTGGTGCCCATCAACAACAGGCAGCTGCTTGGAGGCAGAGGGGTGACTGACTCCAGTGCTGGGGACTGGGTGACTGTAATGGGGGGTGAGGGGCAGCAGGCCTGGGCTATCTCTGCCCCCTTGCCTCGGTGGGATGGCTGGAGCTGCCCAAGCTCCCTGGGGAGAGCCACAAGCCTCACGAGCACGTGTGGAGGGTTTCAGCCGTGGGAGGCTCTGAGAGTTCCTTTGCTAGTGCTGACTCATTAAAGTGCCGGCTACAGTATTTTCTACGTTCCCCCCGCGGCCCCTCAGTGTAAATGCACTTTTTCCTGTGATGTTTAAAACAGTAAATGTAGACAACCTGCCTATGGCGTACAGTCTCTAAACCCTACCAATGAGAGGATTATACAAAGAAGACAAAAGGAAAAGAGAATGAGAAGAGGTCTGTGACAAACAGGAGGAGATGTCATCTGTCCAGGGCTGTTACCCAGCTTAGTACTTCCAAAAATGGAAACCAGTTCTCAGACTTGGTCCAAACCTCAGCAACCTAAAGACTCCTGTTCTTGAACTATCAAGGTGCTGCATTTTATTTTGCTAGTTTTTCTCTGCCATCTCTATAAAACCATTCCTTCTGGCTGATCCCAGGAGATACCAGTTGCTTTGCTGGTGCAAAACCAAAGCCCATACTTGCATGTAATATCCTGCTGTGCGGCTCTCAGGCAACATCTGAAGGTCATTTACACTTTAGTGTTGTTCTCTTTCAGTAGCTAGGCCAGAAAAACAGTGTTCCCCCAAGTATTACTGCCAGCTCATATTGCTTCACGCTGCCTGCAAGAACCAGACAGAACACTGTCCTCTACACTAGATGCCTACAAATAAAAAAATGCCATCTCATTTTCATGCAGAAATGTGTACCTTGTCACTATTGACCACCACCCATCCTCCTGCTGGTCTTACTGGGATGCTCAGTGTGCTGCCCTGGTGGCTGACAACTGCCTGGCCATTAAGTGAGGGTCTGTTTGCAAGCTGCAGATTCTATCCAAATGAAACTCCTGTTACTTGTCTCAGGCTGCATTCGCTGCTGACCACAGCTGTGCTGTACACTTCCCAGGAGCGGCCCTTGTGCGACGTGTGGAGTTCCCCAAGCACTGCAGCAGAATGCAGTACTTAAAAGGGTACATGGGGATACTCTGGCAAAGGCAGGAATTTTCTATCCTGTAATAAGAAAAGCCTAAGAAATGCATTATCCCATCCAGATGTGACCTACCCCCGCTCTCACACTCATGGATGTGAGTACTGGAAAAAGCAAGCTCAGTGGCCCTCCCCTGTCTTTGGTATGGTAAGAGGAAAAAGCACTCAGACGTTTTGAGCTTGCTGCTGGTTAAGCAATGCTGTACTACAAACTGAATATATGGAATTATGTCTAAAGATGAATTACTGCCCTCCGGGAGAAGGTGAAGTGCTGTTGCCATGGCTATCACATTTGCAAGGGAGACTGTCTGTACCTCAGAGTACTCTGCACTGAGTACTCTGGCAGCTTCTGTGCTGACTCCTCCCTCTGGAGGTCTCAAATGTCACCTTAACACCACCTGTCCCCTCAGTGTGCTCTGTCCTGGCAGAAGTGACTAAAGAGTCAGAGATCAGGAGGGACCTTGGGGATCAAGGTCCCTTCTATCACGCCATCTTTGAGCAAAAGGCTCCTGGCCTTGGGGGAAGTAAAGGGCGAGGTGCAGTGGTTGCCTGGTTCGACAACAGCATTGGAAGCAGGTGCCTTATTAATGGCTGGAAATTGGACATACCCAAACAGATAAGGAAGGGGAGTGGTGAGGCCAAGGGCTGGGACAGCAAGGCAGCACACTAGAAAAACACTCTCTGGCACCAGTTTCAGCACCCTTGCCCCACAGCAAGTTACGTGCTCAAAGATCTCTCCATATTTTGCTATGTTCAGCTGTTAAACAAGGACAGTGAACCTTTCATCACAGAAGGCTACATATATTTTATTTACAAAGTCTTGTGATAGAATGTATTGCACAATGGGAAGCAGAGCTGACACACTTCATATGCCTCATGGTGTACTTGGCTTTCTCTGCAATAGGTTATTTGTGATTTTAATGTTTCTTTGCTCTGCCTGAAGCCTGATAAAGGCTTCTGAAAAAAACAGCATGAACTTATTAACTGCAATAAGCCATATTCTAGTTTTGGTTGTTTTATTATTTTTTTCCTTCTCAAAAGTACAGTCCTATTGCAAAATAGGCATTTGTCTCAGATGTTTCCAAATCAGCTTGGCCTGTGGAAAATGTGAAGTCTTGTGGCTGCCACCTCAGTCTGCATTGCATTTGTCCCTTAGAGAAAGGACAAGGTAAAAGCAGCAGCTCTTCCCTCTCAGAAAACTGTCAATCTCATTTGTTGTAACCAGGAAAAGGGAAAAAAAAGAAAAAAAAAAGAAAAAAAGACAACAGAAATCCACCTTACCAAACTGAAATAAGGCAGCTTCTGCTCGGATTTCAGTGCCGGGGATGGTTTGCTGATGCTCGCTGTCTGACAGTCAGAGCCGTGGGGTACCCAAGGAAAGGACAGTGCTTGAGTATCTGAGATACTAGTGGCATATATCCAAGAGATTAATAAATGTTAAATAAGCCAAGGCAATATGTGGAAAGCAATTTAATAACATCATTGTATTTAGCATTAAAAGCCAAGCAAACAGCTCCAGTCTGTTCTAACTGAATTTTCCAAGGCATGCTTGTGAGAGGCCCCAGTAGAGTGTATTTTAGTAATCCAGCCTGCAGAAGAAAACAGAGTAGATGCTTGTATGCTTCAGCAGTGCAACAGGCAGCCTAGGTAAGGAGGGAACTGGTTACATGGGTGTCTGCTGCTGACTCTACTCTGAAATGCAAAACTCCACTGTTAAAGCCAAGTGCAGAAGAGCTTGTGAGGTTCCTTATGCAGGTCAGGTATATGGAGGGGAGGATGCAGGGCAATGATCAGGGGATGACTGTGTCTGACAGTAAGAAGAGCCACTGCCAAAATTACACCAGTCTTTCTTATCAGAAAACCACCAGACAGACAGGCAGAGACACCCCTGCACAAGGGAATTGAGAAACTTGGTAGCTGAGCCTTATGTCATAAAAAAAAAAAATTAAAGAAAAAAAAATATCTGTGCCTCCTAACCTAGAATTAAGTCATGCTTGGAAACAGATTTCTTGTTAGTCCACGCCCTTTGTTTCTTCAGGGTCAAGCTAGAGTCAGGAATCAGGGGCAGATTAGCAGAAGACTCCCTCCCTTCTCACGATTTAATAGGAAGCTACTCCTAGACATCTTTTTGCTGAGAGGCTACACACTTGCCTCTGACAAGCTGCCTACGGAAATGGTAAGCAGGCAGAAAATGAGAGCAGACCTCTCCAAAGCACAGATGTGTGTGGCTGCGTGTTTGCATACACACACACACGTGCCCATGTGCCCTGAGACTGCTGCGAGTGGGGCTCTTTGCTACAGACGGAATGGTTTCTGGGTGTATGTGGCAATATTAAAGGTCACAGCTAGTCTGAACCACTCGGTGCCTCTGCAGGCGTCCAGTGGCAGTTATAGCCGCAGGTGACTAACGCAGGGCCGCTGACAGCACTTGC